GTAGGTCTACCAGAATAAGATCCGCACTAGAGTGGTACGGTAATCCAATTCTGGAAGTCATGTTGCTTGACCATGATGAACCTACGAACTATGAGGAAGCGATGATGAGCCCAGATTCCGCAAAATGGCTAGAGGCCATGAAATCTGAGATGGGATCCATGTATGAAAACAAAGTATGGACTTTGGTTGACTTGCCCGATGATCGGCAAGCCATTGAGAATAAATGGATTTTTAAGAAGAAGACTGATGCTGATGGTAATATAACTGTCTATAAAGCTCGACTTGTTGCGAAAGGTTTTCGACAAGTTCAAGGGGTTGACTACGATGAGACTTTCTCACCCGTAGCGATGCTTAAGTCTGTCCGAATCATGTTAGCTATTGTTGCATTTCATAATTATGAAATTTGGCAAATGGATGTCAAAACTGCATTCTTGAATGGATTTCTGGAAGAAGAGTTGTATATGATGCAGCCAGAAGGTTTTGTAGATCCAAAAGGTGCTAACAAAGTGTGCAAGCTCCAGCGTTCCATTTATGGACTGGTGCAAGCATCTCGGAGTTGGAATAAGCGCTTTGATAGTGTGATCAAAGCATATGGTTTTATACAGACTTTTGGAGAAGCCTGTATTTACAAGAAAGTGAGTGGGAGCTCTGTAGCATTTCTGATATTATATGTAGATGACATATTATTAATTGGAAATGATATAGAATTTCTGGATAGCATAAAGGGATACTTGAATAAAAGTTTTTCAATGAAAGACCTCGGTGAAGCTGCTTACATATTGGGCATCAAGATCTATAGAGATAGATCAAGACGCTTAATAGGACTTTCACAAAGCACATACCTTGATAAAATTTTGAAAAAGTTCAAAATGGATCAGGCAAAGAAAGGGTTCTTGCCCGTACTACAAGGTGTGAAGTTGAGTCAAACTCAATGCCCGACCACAGCAGAAGATAGAGAGAAAATGAAAGATGTTCCCTATGCTTCAGCCATAGGCTCTATCATGTATGCAATGCTGTGTACCAGACCTAACGTATGCTTAGCAATAAGCTTGGCAGGAAGGTACCAAAGTAATCCAGGAGTGGATCACTGGACAGCGGTCAAGAACATCCTGAAATACCTGAAAAGGACTAAGGATATGTTTCTCGTATATGGAGGTGACAAAGAGCTAGTCGTTAATGGTTACGTCGATGCAAGCTTTGACACTGATCTGGACGATTCTAAATCGCAAACCGGATACGTGTTTTTATCAAACGGTGGAGCTGTAAGTTGGTGCAGTTCTAAACAAAGCGGCGTGGCGAGATCTACATGTGAAGCGGAGTACATAGCTGCTTCGGAAGCAGCAAATGAAGGAGTCTGGATGAAGGAGTTCATTTCCGATCTAGGTGTCATACCTAGTGCATCGGGACCAATGAAAATCTTCTGTGACAATACTGGTGCAATTGCCTTGGCAAAGGAATCCAGATTTCACAAGAGGACCAAGCACATCAAGAGATGCTTCAGTTCCATTCGGGACGAAGTCCAAGTGGGAGACATAGAGATTTGCAAGATACATACGGATCTGAATGTTGCAGACCTGTTAACTAAGCCACTCTCACGAGCAAAACATGATCAGCACCAAGGCTCCATGGGTGTTAGAATCATTACTATGTAATCTAGATTATTGACCCTAGTGCAAGTGGGAGACTGAAGGAAATATGCCCTAGAGGCAATAATAAAGTTATTATTTATTTCCTCATATCATGATAAATGTTTATTATTCATGCTAGAATTGTATTAACCGGAAACATGATACATGTGTGAATACATAGACAAACATATAGTCACTAGTATGCCTCTACTTGACTAGCTCGTTAATCAAAGATGGTTATGTTTCCTAACCATAGACATGTGTTGTCATTTGATTAATGGGATCACATCATTAGGAGAATGATGTGATTTACATGACCCATTCCGTTAGCCTAGCACTTGATCGTTTAGTATATTGCTATTGCTTTCTTCATGACTTATACATGTTCCTGTAACAAAAAGGAAAGCTAATTAAATCTATGGAGTGGCTGAAATGGAGCTTGGGTTTTAAGAATGGGGTTGCTGTTGATTGTGACGGTAGGAGCGGTGGGCTCGCTTTATGGTAGAGCGATCATATTCATGTAACTGTTTGGCCGTGGTGCCAATATCTTATTGATGCTGAAATAGTTTGGGAAGGCAAGAAATGTAGATTCACTGGTTTCTATGGTGAGCCAAAAACAGAACTTCCGAAAAAACCCTGGGATGGAATTCAGTACTTGAGAGCCTAAGATGATCTTCCCTGGTTGTGTGCTGGTGATTACAATGAGACCCTCTTCCATACAGACCAGCTTGGGGGTATTCCTAGGAGGTTTGCACAAATGGAAGATTTTTTAGACTGCTTGGCTGACTGTGGCCTAGCAAACCTGGGATATTCTGGGTACCCTTATGCTACTTGTGAGTTGTGTTGGGATTTCCTCGAAAAGGAGAGGAGATGCAATACAATAGAGATAAGTATTTCTCTCTCTCTCTTAACAACCAAGGTTATCAATCCAGTAGGAGACTCAAACAGTACCTCATGAACAGCACCTGCACACATAAAAGCTACTGCTAAATACATCCATTTGAGGGACAAGTTTTTTCGGACGGAGGGAGTATTTATAAAAGGAGAAACAGTAATGACCATGTCATCATTATTAGTACTAATCCTTAAAGGACATTATGTGCCAGAGAGCAGTGGTGTCACTTGCGGGAAGATTGGACACAACAGAAAGTTTTGTCTGAACCAGACTTTGGCAAAAACCTCAAAACAATATATTTATGTCACTAATGGAAAGGAACTCTTGAGAGGTGCCAGTTTCTAATTAGTGGATGTTTGCTTCAGGAAGATCTTATATTTCTCTCATTTCAGTTCATATATTGAATAATTCTATTGGGGTTCACGGTCCGATAACACGCTCTGAGCAGCGCATCATGATTGGATTATTATTCATTCACGGTCAGGTTGGATTTGCTCCACACTGGCAATGTGGTACTTGTTTCGAATTCCCGACAGGTTGAGGAAGAAGTAACAACTCATTCACATCAAGATGACAACTTGTCGGGCGCTAGATCGCCTGAATATATACTTTGCCCTCGGTTTTATCGTTTTCTTGGAGAGAAAAAAAAGAGATGATAGGGAGTGTAAGATAGGAAAGCTTTTCACATTGCAAAAAATGGTGTATGATGGTGTGTCCCCATATGTAAATGATTTCATGCATGGAGTCCTCATGATTAATTAGTGAAGTTGTGGATGTATGCATCCTCTTTGTCTTGCTGGAATGCATGAGCTGTTTTTCCAGCCCTAGTTGGACCTCCATATCATGTGATCATTCCCCGTTGACAGCATATCAACCATACGTGATTACCTCTCGAGGGAAATCATGTGATCAATTCTTGTGTTACTCAAGAAAAAAATTACCTATTTGTTTAGCGGTGCTTACTTGTTTTCTCTAGGGAACGAGAGAGTTTTATTGCTCAGAGAATCTTATAGGGATACAAGTGGAGTCCGGAGGCTCCATCGACCAAACATGTCTACCCACAGCAAGTGAGGATAAAATTTGCACTAAAGCATGTGCGTTCCCATTATACTCTCGTCGTTCCTGGTCGCATATGACCTACTGAAAACTTCTCTTTCGGATATTAATCTCCTTCAGAAATGTGCCATAGTTTGGCAGTAATAATTTGTGAAGCGTTGTCTTCCCAGTCTTCAAGTTTTTTTACATCAACCAGTCTCCAAGTTCTTTATTACCGCCAAACAATCTGAGACAATCAACACCCTTCTACTCCCTTCATTTCATAATGTAATACGTCTTTTACACTGAGAGTAACATTGATATCAGTGCTTCACAAATTGTTGTAGCTTCAAGAATCTCAGGGTTAACCATTCCTTCAAAGACTTTCTTTTTTATAGGAGAACCAAAACTCTTTATTGCACTATATATGTCACTCCAGCCCAGCCCAGCCCGGCCCATTATCAGAGAAACTGACTGTGGGGTCACTCATCATCAAAGGGCGAACCAGACCACAAAACGGCACCTCTCTCAATCAACAACGGCCTCAAAAACAACAACAACAACAACAACAACAACAAAATCCTCTTGCTCTCGCTCCGGCCGGGCCGTCGTTCCCCATTCCCTCGCCGCCGGCGCCACCGCGCCGCTGCCTACAGCACTACGCCATGCTCCGCCTCCACAAGCATATCCTCGCCCATCTCCTCTCTTCTCCAGCCACCTCTCCCGTATCCCATCTCCACCGCCTCATCTCCGCCGCCGCGCCCGCCATCTCCTGAAGCACCGGCTTCGCCGTGGAGGAGTACCTCGTCTCCACCTGCGGCCTCACCCGACCCCAGGCCCTCAAGGCCTGCCCCAAGCTCTCCCACCTCAAATCCCCATCCAAGCCCGACGCCGTCCTCGCCCTCCTCGCCGGCCTCGGCCTCTCCGCCGCCGACATCGCCTCTCTCGTCGCCAGGGACCCGCGGTTCCTCTGCGCCAAAGTGGAGAAAACCCTGGGCCCCGTCGTCGCGGGGCTCGCCGGCGTCGGTCTCTCGCCTTCGGAGGTCACACGCCTCGTCTCGCTCTCCCCTCACAGCTTCCGCTCTAGATCCATCGTGTCCAAGCTGCACTACTGCTTGCCTCTCTTTGGGTCCTCTGAGAACCTCCTCCAGGCCCTCAAGAGGAGCTCCTCCCTTCTTTCGTCTGACCTCGACGGCGTGGTCAAGCCCAACGTCGCGTTGCTGCGGGAGTGCGGGCTAGGTGCTTGCGATATTGCCAAGCTATGCAGCAATCAACCAGGTTTGCTCACCATCAATCCAGAGCGCTTCAAGGGACTCGTGGCATGCGCCGAAAAGATAGGTGTGCCCCGTGGTTCTGGGTTGTTTAGGCACGCGCTGCATGCTATTGCATTCGATAGCGAGGAGACCATCACAGCCAGAGTGGAGCACTTGAAGACCACGTTCATGTGGACGGATGGCGAGGTGGGAATTGCTGTTTCTAGGTTCCCATTGATGCTGTCGAGGTCCAAAGAATCACTGCAGCGTAGGTCTGAGTTCCTCATCTCTGAGGTGGGCTTGGAACCGGCGTTCGTTGCTCATCGACCCGTAATGCTCGGTCACAGTCTAGAGGGCCGGCTCAGGCCCCGGTACTATGTTGTGAAGTTTCTCAAGGAAAATGGATTGCTCAAGCGTGACCCAAACTACAGTACCGTTTTCAAGATGAGTGAGAAGGTATTCAGGAAGAAGTTCATATTCCCTCACAAGGAGGCTGCGCTGCACCTCGCAGAAGACTACGATGCCGCTTGCAAGGGGGAAGTGCCGACTAATTTCAGATTCACATAAGCCAAGACGGGCTATGATGTACTCCCTCCGTTCCTAAATATTTGTCTTTTTAGAGATTTCAAATGGACTACCACATACGGATGTATATAGACATATTTTAGAGTGTAGATTCACTCATTTTGCTCCGCATGTAGTCACTTGTTGAAATCTCTAGAAAGACAAATGAACGGAGGGAGTAATTGTGTGCTGGTTGTCTGCTGTTGTATGACTATTAGATGCTGGCTTGGTCATTGCTAACGTGTGATGGAATTGATAATTTGATCCCGAACACTGGTATGTAATACTATCACTCAGCAATGGGTTGGTTATGAACTTTCTCGTCCTCATTCATGTTCTAAACACATGTATTGGAACTAAGCAAGTGTGAGATCAGTCCATTCTGCAATGCATTCAAATGTTAGTTTTCAAGATCAGTCCATTCTGCAATGCATGAAAATTTCAGTTTTCAACTTAGTTGCTGGTGCATTGAGACAATGAGCCACATAATGTCTTCTTCATGTGGGTAATGCACTCCTACTGTTCTATTGATGTTTTTGCAATTCATAGTGGATAATTGGAGCATCAATCTGATGCCCGTCCCAAATTTAGGTAAATAGTCTTGTTGGTATGGTCAATTCACTTGCCTTTAGCTTAATCTATTTTTCAGTTATGGTTTGATATCAAAATAATTTTGGTTTTCTCATATGCAGATTCATATTGATCTATCTTTGCTTTAACTAATGAAATAGATAGATATTTCATTCAATTATGGAAAGTGTCTGGAAGTGAGTTCTCGTCTAGTTGGATCAGAGGTAACCATTTGGAGCAATTGGTCATATTGCAAATACCAACTAGGCTGCAGGATGAAATGTGGGGGGCTCCCGTATGTACAGATTATCTGCTAAAGAGAGATGGCATAACTAAACCTCGAACTCTCACTTGGAGGAGGGTTGGCAACTTGGCATCATTTAAGTTCAAGCAAGTAAACTTAGGTTTCTTTGTTCATTTTTATGCTGGTAATGTTATTGATACTAGTAACCTTATCGACACAAAGAAGCACTAATCTTGTATTGTGTGTTTGTGGATTTTCATGTTCTGCACCATGGCCATAAATTATGTGTTTATTGTGGATAGCTTTAGTTTTTTTTAGTTTATTATTGTGTTTTGGTCCGAACTCCGCCTATGTCTTCTAGGCATAGCCGGTCCCAAGCCCGGGTAAAGGAGGAGGGTTGTGATAGGCTTGGTGAGCCAACGTAAAAACTAGCCAGTCCCATAGGTTTGAAAACCATTTGAGCGAGAGTAGCACTAGGATGGGTGACCTCCTGGGAAGTCCTCGTGAAAGGGTTTCATATCTAAGGGTTGTAATAGGCTTGGCGAGCCAACGTAAAAACTAGCCAGTCTTTTGGATATGAAACCCATTTGGGCGAGAGTAGTACTAGGATGGGTGACCTCCTGGGAAGTCCTCGTGAAAGGGTTTCATATCTAGCCTACCCCAACTTGTTTGGGATAAAAGGCTTCGTAAGTATTGTGTTTTGGTCCCGTGGTTAATTCTTTGTACCAAGCACCACCAGGAGGTTCACTAGCAGCTAGTGGGTGTTTCTTCGTTCTGTGTGCATCTTCTTTAGTTTTGCTTAAAATCAGTGGTTAATTTATTGTTTTGGTCGGTGTGGTTGTGAATATCCATGCTCTGAATTCATTGTCTGAAACTCTGAATATCCACAGAGATTGCAGGTTCTTAATTACTTCCCCATAGTAGCTTGTTTATTTGAAATGATGTGCATAATCTGCTAGCCTTCTGGGCCAGATTACTTCCAACTAGCCACATAATCTGCACTTGAATTAGTTTTTGCCATCTTGGGTGTTCATCTGGAGGAAGATTTCATTGAAGTTCAGTGACGGATAGTAAAATTTGATATCTGTCTGTATGATTTTCGCAAGGGGCAATTAAGGATTTGAAGCATGTTTGATCCAAAAACACAAAGAACTCCAGTACTTTCTTTAACCTCCAAAGTAACTGCCAAAGCGTGCTAAAAGTAGTTTATATTTTGATTGTCAAGTGTAGCTGTCATGGTCTGTTTTTTGTAACAAAGTAAGCATTTGAGAGCTGGCCGTACTTCAACCAGTCCATGCTGTAAATCTATATGATGCATCTACTAGCATTTTGGAGTACACTGGAGTGTTTATATGTTTCATCAGGTTTTTCTGAAATATGATGATATTGAAGCTCAACTGTACATTGACCTTCACCTGTTCTGCCAAGCGTATATGATAAAACCGTTCCCCTTTATAAGTAGTGATTGTTATGAATGCTAGCAGATGCCTCTTTTACCATTTTTAAATATCTCATCGTTCCTGTGTGGGTATTTAACTGTGAAACTAAAATGCCAGGATGCAAAATTTGACATTTTGCTGGCCAAGCAAACCGTTGAGTTTATTAGTCTACCTCTTTTGTCAATGGTTAAGTGTATTTATTAGTCCACCTCTTTTTTCTGATGTTGTCAACTCCTTTCATGATGGAACAATGGTTTAGCCTGGTGCTGTGGAAGTGTTGCACCTTGGCTGAGGGAGCTAGGGACCTTGCTGATTTTTCTTTCCTTGTTAGGACTTATGGGTCTGGGAGAATATGCTATTTAATATACTATTTATTTTGGGGATTGGGGGGATGTGCTATTCACATGTCCTGCTCCTGCGTGATCCCATGACTCCTTTACACGGCCTTGGCTAGAGCAATTGCAATGGTATTTCGTTCTCTTGGATCATAGGCCTGAGGCTTATGAAAAAAGTTAGTTGATCAGCAGCAAGGTAACTGGTTGCTGAGTCCAGTGATGAGCACTGGTGTTTTTCACTAGTCAAGTACTATAAGATGCATGTACAGGGGATGGAGGACTTGCCTGGACATCTGCATAATAAGAGTTGCCCCCTGAAGAAAACATCGACATGCTCCACAATTAATGGAAGAGTAGAGTGAGGGAGGTATTCCGTCCGTGTAGTTATAGGCAGTAGCATTTGTTTGTAGGAGAGATGGCAGAGCAAAGCATTTGTAGCTGGTTTTACTTGTAAATACGATTTCCATGTGTGGTAGAGAGGAGGTACAGGATATATTCACCACTTGTCTGATACTCCCTCTATCAAAATATAAAGACGTTTTTTGATACGATACTCCGTTTGTATCAAAAACATCTTATATTTTGATTCAGAGGGAGTAGCAAATATATTTTTTTCTGAAGAAAAAAACACATCCTAGTGATTGATTGATCCCTGAATCCAAGTTTTACGCTGCTTAAACATGAAATGTATTGACTGACTGATTTACTGAATTTTGTAGATTGGTGGTCTAGGAGAAGATGTGCCAAGATGGTATGATGCGGTGCTTTCTCCTCTTCCAGGAGATGGAGACGGAGACAGAGATGGACCGAGCGTAGCGGCTGGGCCTCTGCATGCTTCTGAAGGCCCTCTGCTTGTTGATGAGCTTCAGTAACAATAATGATACGCCAGGGTGTGTTTGTTTTATTCAGAGAAGCTCCTTTTGAATCTTGCCAGGTATATTTCCAAAGTGTGATCTTGTATATCGCAATATGCAAGGTATTCATCAGCTCAACCGCCTGGAAAAACAGCAAGTTCAGTGAACCAACACGCTGCATCTGGTTTGTTTTAATCACTTCGTGCATTGGTGAGTTCTGTGCTTCTTCCTCCTCAACACACGCTTTGATCTAGCTTGGATGTAGGCAATTTGAACTCTGAATTGCCATGCATGCAATGTATGTAAATTTTTTATCAGAACCAGAGTTGAAAGTTGTTTACCTCTGTGAATCTTTGATGTGGTATTAAATTTCCGATTTGAATGAGAAGTGAAAGTTGCTACCTCTGTGAATCTTTCAGACTTGATGGGTCAACTCTGAAACCTTCAGCTATCAAAATGAGTATATATACCATATGTCTATTAACAATCAGTTGTTGCGCCATAAGTTTTCTACTCTCATTGCAAAATCAGAGCTGAAAATTAACAGCAAAATGAGTCTATATCTTTCAGAGACACCCTGCAGCACGACGACTCTGCCATCAAAGCAGCCAGAGACACCCTGCAGCACGAAAGGAGAAACTTTGAAGCCGTGGCTCTGGCTTCGACATCCAGGGTGCTGGTCAGTCCGTGCGTTTGAGGTGCTCTCTCTAGTCGGTTTTTTTTTACTAGTCAGTGACCCGGCTGTCCGCCCGGTCATTTGAGGCGCCTGATTGTAGACTATAGATGCTCTTAATGTACGTAAACATGGTGACAAGAATGACATGAACTTATATTTTTGCTGCTTTATTTGCAGAATCAATACACCGCGGAATGAAACCATGGATGGACAGCTTTGTATCAGAGGTTCTGTTCAGTTGTGGATAAATTGGACAATGTAGGATGGTCCTTGTCATCAGTGTACAGAAAGAATGATGTGCTTCTGATTTCGGGGACCAACGTTTGAGGCATGCACGGTGTCTGCTTTATGCGCGCTCGGCTTGAAATGCTACTCCCTCCGTTCACTTTTATAAGTCGTTTCAGACAACACAAAATAGGCTGTTTTGTACATTGTCTGAAATGTTTTAAGGTCTTATAAAAGTGAACGGAGGGAGTACTTTATTTTACCCTTAGTGCACACTTGTTTTCCTTTTCTAGATAATAGTAATGTAATACTCTCTCCGTCCCTAACTACTTGTTGCTCAAACGAATGATCCAGCAGTGAACTACAACTTGATGTATCCGTTAGAGCGGCAAGTAATGTCAGACGGAAGAGATACGAGTAAGTACATGTGAGTGCGTCTATTGGCATAAGGAATTTGTGTGATGTTGGCTTGATTCAGTCTTTTGGTTGTAGTTCTCGTACGTACGTGGTGTCGATTGGCCTTCACCGCTGGCCGCATCCATATCCCACGACTAGACGCAAACTAGCACATAACGCCAAGTGTCCTGTTCCGACAAGTGCCTCTTCGTCCTTGATTCTCCTCCTTTTGCACTGGGAAGAAATGATTGTTGTTGGATCCCT